GAGGGCCGCAACGCACCCCCACGACGCCCAGAATGGAGGAAGTAGCTCGCCAACCACTTTCTGGGCATCAACACATCACGGATGAAGCAGCCAACCCGTTCTCCCTTTTAGGGACCTCCAAATGAAGGCAGTGGGTTAGAAAAGGGGTGTACACAGTGGGCCACCTCTGGGATGGTCAGGCAAGGAACTGGAAATCTGAGAGCGATATGAAGACCCTCACAGGTCCATTGAAAAATATGGCCTCCTGCATGAGGGAGCTACAAGAAGCCATCCCTCTGGCCTGGATCCACGCTCTCAAAACGTGCCCGACAATACAGCCAAATGACTAGGTGGTGCCCACCGAATCTATGTCCATTTCCATGACGATGTACAAAGTGCACAGCTGCAACAACGGAAACACAACACTACACGCCTACTGCCCGACCCTGCCTGGAGAACGCTGGTCAGCAATACACAGACAAGAAGATTTGGACACACAAAGACAGCCATCCGAGCTTACCAGGGTGAGAGTGGTAGGGAACTCTGAGGATGGTCTCTTTCTCTATGAGCCATCCACCCCCCTCAGTGAGCTACCATTCGATCCGGCGGAATGGGAATGGTCATGGGGTGACTCTCAGACAATGGCCTTGTGGCAATATAGTGTCAAGAATGGTTATCGAATAGCCCAGAAAAGAGTACAAGTGACACAACAAATCATACATAGGTGGGAAAGAGACTCCCCACTGGAAGAGCGAGACTTCCGCCACTTCAGATGGTCCTGCTTCTCGCATATCGAACCAACCAATCACAGAGCGCTGCAATGGTAGATCATACACAAATGCCTGCCAACTCCGGACTGGCTGACATCAAGATCAGACTTGAGAGCAAAAGGGCTGCTCTCGCCGTTGTGCATGTACTGCGCCAACTCTACACCACGGCAAAGAGGTACCTTGGAGCACTGTCTACTAGACTGTCCGATGGTGTCTCAAGTCTGGTGCTGGTGGGACACAGCTTTGCACTACTTTACGGGGGAACACCTACCATGGGAAGTTCGTACCCTTCTGCTGGGAGGTCCCCCCGAGGGAGTAGCGGACTGGACACCTTTTATGACAAACCTATTCACATACTCCAGACTAACGGTGCTGATGGCGGCCCAGAAAATGTGATGTGCTTACGAAAGAAAACAACATGACTTTGGCTTCATGCAAGATCGGGGAACAATCATAGACACTATCACTGCTAACACCCAGGACGCTTGGAGACAGATGCAATCCCAGCTACCGAATGAACCAGATGAGGCTAGAACACGCCGCATAGTGGATGAATTCGAAGCCACCTGGACGGTCGGCTATTGGAGACTGTGCTCCCTTGACAATGCCCACTCTCTGAAGTGGCAGCCTTGGCTGTCTACAAAGAGGCAGTGGGAAAGGCTGTCGAGGCACCACTTCCTGATGGTTCACCAACCTACAAACTTTGTTCTCATCCCATCAGAAGATTGTGTCCAACACCCCGCCCACCGATCTCCCCCCATCCCTCTCCCCCCCCCACCCCTCCCTGTAACTACTCCCACAACCCGTCCTGACCACCTCCCCATAACACTCCCCTCCCCCCCCCTTCCCAGTCTTCCCCTCATCCCCGGGCTCGGTCCCTCTGTCTCCGCTACATTGACCGCCCTTCTCGATTGCCAGCCAGGGATGTTCGAGAGCAGGCCAAATAAGCAGAGCGGAAGGAGAGACAGGCACAGTCTGCATACAAAATCTCAAATACAGGACCCCAGCCCTGGTATACCTAGGGGAGACAAAGGCTCGGGCAGCATTTGCATTTTCAGTTTCGTTTTCAAATTCATGTACATTATCATCATCATCACTCACATATCACTATTCTAGGACGCTGGACCCGGTTTCCAGCAGGTGCAGCTCCCCACCAATAGATGGAGCCTCCCCGAGAATGCTAGGGGTGTCTGCTTTTACCAGCACCCCTGGCAGTCGACTGGTTGTTTCACAAAAAAAAAAAAAAAAAAAAAAAAAAGACATGTCGTCCAGGTACACTGTTCAAATTCGGGTCCTGGCGGTGAGTTCCTTGAAGAACCCTCCACGTAACGAATTCTGCAGGCTGGGAACTATGTAATGGTGGACAGTAGAAATGCCCAACCGTGTCTGATGACTGTCCTCATGAATTTGGAGGTGTATAGTGGACAGTGGACAGTAACGGCCTCGCCACACCAGGGCCGTGGTCTCACTAGCGAAGGGGACAGGATAGAAATCCTGAATCTGGCTATGTTTTATGCAGAGATACAGAAAAGCACTTCTATCTCGATTTCCTGCTCCTGTCCTCAAACACGTCCAGATTCAGGCATTCAATCCGATGCTCTTTGCTANGTACAGTCTTTTCTGAGATCTTTAGAAGTGAAGTTGGGATAATGGATGGCATTTGGCTCAGCTGGTGCTGTACGCTAAACTGCCTGATGCTGCCAGGATAACCCCAGGTAGAATTGTGGGGACCCCGGCCCTAATTCATTTGCAATATATGGGTCTCGTTAGACACTCCTAAAAGAATCCTAAAAGATTTAGGACGAGTCCTACAGGTTTTTTAGGATTTCGCACGGCGTCGTTACACGCAGTCTTAAAAATCATCTTTTATGAATCGTCCTAAAAGGTTTCCCGCGGCCCATTTTCATATACGTATACGCAGCCGCGTCGCCGATGTCCCTCCAGTCCTGGCTGGCGTCCGTGGTCCACACTGCGGTGGCCCTTGGACGGGTGCCGACGGGTTGGTGAAGCATGCGTTTGCCGAGACCTTCGAAATTTCTAATTCGAATTTTGGCGGACGCAGGCTGGCGGGCTGGAGGACGGCCAGGCAACGCGTGTGACGTACAAGAGACGGCGGTGACGACCCCTTCGCCGTGGGTAACCAGCTTTGCTGTACGCGGGAGTTGTGAGGCGCGCGACGCATCTTCCTGCTCGGTGCATCTTCACCTACGGACGTGCCGTCGTCTTGCTGTGGACGTCTGGGGACTCCTCCGTTGCCCGCACCTGAGCCAACGGTCCGCAACGGCCGCCCGCCTCGCCCGCCTGGCCACGCTTCGCCCCGCGCGCTCCACCCCACCGGCCAACGGCTACCGGTGGGGGCCGTTGACGTCGTCGACCGGCAGAAAACCTCCGATGTCCGCCCACTGACCCGACGGACCTCTCCTGGACCAGCGCCTCCGTGTCGACGGTGCCATTCTCGCGACGTGACGACCCCGTGACCCGACGGACCTCTCCTGGACCAGCGCCTCCGTGTCGACGGTGGCAGAAAATTTAGGACGATTTGGCTGGGGAATCCTAAATCTTTTAGGACGAGTCCTAACGCCGTTTTCACATTTTGGATTCCCGCGTCCGATTTAGGATTGCGTGCAACCAACACGCAATCCTAAAAACAGGAACTTTTAGGAGTGTCTAACGAGACCCTATGAGTGGAGATTTTTGCCCGTCCTGGAAAACGATGAAGAACTTCCGTGGGTCAGACACTGAGTGACAAGGGTTTCGCATGTGCATGACACTGACGTAGGGAGACTATCCCCCCCTCGCGGTGTATCAAAACTGGAGACTACGGGCCTCGCTGCACTACTCTCGAAATGTGCAAAACCAGAGTGCATCTTCCGCTAGAATATCTTCTTTTCTTTTTCTTTTTTTCTTTTTAAGGGCGATGGCCTTGAGGTATTATCATCGGGCTAACCAGCCCAGGTAAATTCAATATTGTGTCTAATCTGACATCAGGTGGCCTTTTCAGCCCAGGGTGGCCTTGATTGCCTTCAGGGGGCTGGTAAATTCAATATTGTGTCTAATCTGACATCGGGTGGCCTTTTCAGCCCAGAGTGGCCTTGATTGCCTTCAGGGAACCCCCAACGGGGGACACCGGCCAGGCGACAGCCGGTGGCAGAGGGACCGAGCATCATCTGAGTGGCCAGTCGCTGTGCCTCCCGGATTACCCCTCCCCCTATGAACATCAGCAGAGACTGC